TGTTTTGGTTCCAGAATAGCTGATATCAATACGTTTAATTAACCCTGAGTATCTAAACCTTTATTAAGGCTCGTTCACAGCGTGAAAGCTATCATCAATAGAGCACAGATTCAACACATCAACAACAAGCCAAGAGGCTCTTGCTGCTTGACAACCTTCTCTGATATTTCAAATAAGACATATTTAGTACAAAAGGAAACTAATTAACAGCCAGATTCTGCCTGACTGTGTGTTAAACTTTGAAGGAACTTCTTCATTGAGTGTTTTTTTTTTTATGTACCGGTACTTATGGTTGTTACATGGAACTTTGATTAAAGGTTGATGGACAGAATAAAATGCTTAATAAAGTTAAAATATAAAGTACGTTTTACAAAGGGGATTATTTCAACATCTTCAGGCCTTTTTTTTAGTAAATGTGAAGTATGAAATAACGAGGTCCCTAAATTCATTATATCCAGTGATTTCTATAAATTCAATAGTTTTTTCTATTTCACTGTACCACATATATTCCTTCTGAAGAGGAGAATAGTGCAACACATAATGGGGCGGGGCATACAGAGTGGTGCAGAGAGACAAACAGAAACATTTTTAGTATTGAGAATAATTCTGAACCCATTTCTTTTCATTGATCAAATGCCCGGTTGATTAACAGAGCAGAATTTAGGAACACCAGGGTGGAAGTCCTTCATCCCCTGCACACAATGAGATTGGGACTACCACTTCATTCCATGTAGCCTCTGTAGCCTCTTTACATATAATATCATGCAGATATTTTGTTGATATTTATCTAACTAATCCTTAGTTCCCAGTAAAGAATTTCTCCTCTGGGAATTTTGCCAACAGCCTCTTTGTGGTGGATTAATTAAATAATAACAGTGGCTCATTCTTTGTGTTTTTGAGCTGTTGATGCAAGCATGACCCTTAAATCAACGTTAAGGGGCCTATAAAGCAATAAACTCGACTGAAAATGAGGAAAAATCTCTATAAAAAAGTCTGAAACAAAGCTTTGGACGACTTCCAGAAAGCCTGGGCAGCCGTTCATCATCACTACTCTACCAGATTACAAGAAATTCTGTTTTTTAGAGGCTAAATATAAACAAATTGGTTTAAGATTTCTGCAAAGTACTCTGTAGAATGTAGTTTGCATTTGACATATTTTTAACACAGTTGGGTTAAACATTTGGCTTCAAGCATAAGATCAAGATGACATTTAGAACATTTCGTGAGCACAGAGAGGCAGGAGGAATTGCATTATCCATTTAGCCTAACGGATTTAACCACTGAATACTCAAAGGAATCATTAAGGATCTAATAATAATTATAGCTTAATTTTGTGAGATGCTCTGTTTGCTTCTGTTTATTCCTCTTGTGTTTCACAGGCACATCCATAATCCAGGTCACAGCCGTAGACGCAGATGATCCAGCATATGGAAACAGTGCCCGTCTGGTTTATGGGATATTACAGGGCCAGGAGTTTTTCTCAGTGGACCCTCAAACAGGTTGGTTCCTACCCTTACATTGAGCAAGCATCGCCCGAATTTAGAGCTGATGGTAAAACTCCACACCGTTAATCCTCATCGTATGCTATGTTTTATCCGTTCTCACCATATGTTCAGCAGAAAACTAGATGCTTTTTCTGACTAGAGTCAGTTTAGAAAGAGTGGTGGCCTGGAGTCACATGGTTGGAAATATCCTCATTTTAAAATGTATGACTCGGTTTGATGCTAATGTGAGGAGACGGCGTGTCACTGTGAAATCTGGAGCTGTTGTGATTTTTGTTGTGCTCCCCGCTTTCCTCTCCACCAGGCATCCTACGGACCGCGGTACCTGATATGGACAGAGAGACGCAGGATGAATATCTGGTGGTCCTCCAGGCGAAAGACATGGGCGGGCATATGGGTGGGTTGACGGGTACCACGACCGTCACTGTGAAGCTGACCGACGTAAACGATAACCCGCCTCACTTCAGACGCAGTAAGCGCTACCTTATCGGATCACCACTTTGACTATAATTGCTTTCGATCCCTGTGGATGGAGGAGGTGTGTGAAGACTTAGGTGATAAAATGTCTTGTCATGACTGAGCTCTGATATATTTCCACCTCATCTGGATTCTGGATGTTCTGACAGGTTGAAGATACAATACGAGCTTCAAAGTAGCTAAACATTACGCAGAAAATGAGTCAGAGGAGGAGGTTGCTAAAGTATTGACACCCTTTTGTCATGTTGCAACCAAAAATATTAAATATTTTATTTTGATAATATTTTATGGGTCAATCCAAAGTAGTTTATAGCTGTAAAGGGACAAGACATTTTTTTCAAATAAATTAATGCTGTCTGTATTTTTTTATTTATTTTTTTGGTGCCTTGAGTTAATAATTCCATCAGATGCCGAACAACTGAAGCTCAGTCAACCTGGGCGGATTACCTCTTAGAACAGGAACCTGGAAGCTTTGATGCAAATTCACAAATTTAATTTAGATCAGGACTTGAACTAGGCCTTTATGATGTGAATGCATTTTTAACTGCAGCTTTGGGTGTATATTCTGAGCTGCTGTCTGGCTGTAAGAACAAACTTAAGGCTGATTTATACTCCGAAAGCAGGTAGTCTGCGTGTTTGTTGCAGTTAACGCAGATGTGCCCCCGCCCCTTCCGCAGGCACTCTGGTGCACCTCTCCAAAATTGTAGGTGACCGCAGACAGGAGGCCTCTGATTGGTCAAATCTACATCCGCTCTACACTATACGTAGTTCCTGTTTGGTACCTACCTGCCAATTTGTAAAACAAATCGTAAAGATGGACCAGCTAGAAGCGCGAGGTGTGCAAGAACGCTGGGAACCTTTTTCCACCTGGATCCCCGCTCTTTTTCGGTCCCTCCATTGTCGCACAAACTTGCCCCTTGCACTTTTTTCCACTTCCTCACCGCCTCGGCCGTATCTAGACCCACAAATAAAAAATATCTGCGACAAGCTCACTGCGACACTGCTGCGGGAGGATAACCAGCCCTTTAGTCCCAGTTTCAAGTGTGTTACAACTTTTTACAGGTTGTTTCATGTTTTTATCTAAATAAAGTAGTGAAGGGGATGTTTTACTCCGCATTATTATAATCTGCAGCATCACTGGTTGATTTGTAATGATCCTTCAGCCAGATAGTAAACTAGCCCCACCCACCAGCGGCCAAAATCATTTTTGCCTGCGAGTTTGGTCTAGCCTTGATCATTGCCCCAGGCCCTAAATCTGGCAGGCCAATCACAATGCAGAGATGTGCTTTGAATGTCTGCCGGCAAAGCGGGCGGGGTTTTGAGGGCGGGACAACAAAGCTGCAAGACGCTGGAGAAAGCACAACAGTAGTATGCACTGCAGCAGCTTTCAATGGAGCGCTCCATTGAAAGTTAAAAGTTGTCTTTCTGTTACCGTTGTTCAATAAAAGTACGTTTTAAGATAATTTGAGGCAAGAATATTATACTTTTAAGCGTCACTATATGGTCCATTTACCGATTTAATGTGTAACTATAAAAAGAAGAAGGACGTATTTGCCGTTTTACCGACAGGCTGTTTGTTTACACTCTCCCACCAGCTTTCTGTCGCGCTTACTACGTCAGTCCGTTGCACTCATTGGTCAGAGCGTTGGCCAATAGGCACAGACAGCGGTTTTGAAAAGCAACGGGCTGTTCTCATCAACAATCTTCCGATGTCACATTCATCAGGGCCAGACTAAATAATACCTTTCATCACCCATTTAGTCTGGTTTATCAGGCTACCAGATAGCGGCTTTCAAGGAATATCTCAGCTGAAGTTTGCTTAATACTCTTAAACTGAAATCAATCCAATATTAAGTATCAAATGTATCAACCAAATTTTTACATTAACAAAAACAAAATACATATTTTATTTATTATATTTACTGTCATTTTGACAAAAAGGAAAGGGGGTTTGTTTGTTTTATCTAGTTAATGGATATTTGAATATTTATATTACATCACAAACAAATGCAATATATATCTTCCCCTTCAGCTTGTGGAAAAAAATTGTCAGATGATTTTTATTTTCCACACTGGGTAATAAAAAAAATAAACAGCATGGTGTTGTATTAACAAACACAATTTCATTCCAATTAAATTGTCCTGAAAAGTTTATTAAAAAAACAAACAGACAATTAAAAACAAACAGAAAATTTTTCAAATGTCCAAATAGGTTTAATTGAACTGTTAAAAAATATGAATCACCTCTGCATCCAATGTTAGGAAATGTTACTAAATGAAATTGTAGAAACATAGCAGTAGAATATACTGATTGGGGTTTTTAAATATCAAAAATGGTTTTAGACCATATTTACTAGTGAAACCAGTGTGGGGCCAGTGTTTTTTAATCAGGGTGAAGTGAAAAAAAAAAAAAAAAAGTGAGCCACATTATAAAACTTACTGCCCCAGACCCCCTTCAGTGCTACACCTTTATTTTAAAATAATTTTAAAGTGAAGCTCTAAAGGTAAAAAATAATCCAAGATGTTGCTACATTTCTATTGGAGGAATAATCCAGTCAGCAAGGAATAACCAGTGGGTCATTACTTATACCTAAAACTAATACGTTCGCAGTGATTTAATGAATTAAGCGTTAATCATTAAAAAAATAAAACAATATTTTCCGTTGAGAAAACCGAGTCTGGGAGCGGCCATTTTCACTCCCTACATCTTCCAGCATTGACATCATGGTGCGGTACAAGCAAAGTTAATTGGAACCACTAGACTACAGTGGCAAATCTAAAATCTAAAAAAATCTCAAATCTAAAAGCGCAACTACATTAAGGAAATCGCAAGTACATAAAGCAAAGCGCAACTACATTAACTACATGAGACATCGCTGATTGGCAGATTTTACGGGCCACCGTACTAGACAGATCTGCAATCAACAACAATTATTGAATTATTATTATTGAATTGAATTATCTAAGGAGGACTTCACCATTGAAATTTGCGTGAACTATAGTGAAACTGACAATGCCCACGTGCATGGCAGTTGGATGTTGTGATACATCGGGTAAAAGTGAAAAAAAAAAATAGTTTTCATCTTTCCGATTCATTATCCACCTCGGATTTGTTGTTGAACTTCTGGTCAGAGAAAACATGCGTCAATAATCCGTTACTCTCTGCTTCGCGTAGTTCACTGGTCGTCACCATCATGGATAATAGTGTGTTGTGACAAACACCAGCACAGCACTGGGACTTGCTCAACAGCCGATACAGCACAAACCAGTAGGTGGCAGTAGTGTTCTTTGACAAACATGGATGTCTCCAGTAAAACACATTCAAATTGAATTACTCTGAATTAAAATACTTATCATTTATTAAAAAGTATGTAATAATTTCATACTTAAAGTACTTTCAGAAGTTTGTATTCTGAATGTGACCAAACTTTTTCTTTAAAGGAATAGTACACCCAAAACATGATTAGCCTTCATTTTCTACTCACCCCCATGCTGAACAACACTCT